TATCCAATAACTCAAAAGTCAATTTAATGTTATTTCTTGTTAAGAAATCTTTATCTTCTAATAAACAGTTGATTATTATTTTGGTGTTGTTTTTAGAATAAAATGGTATTAATATTGTGCCATTGTTTATTGACAAGAATGTAAGAATATAATGTTTTATATCTCTAATCATTGTATTTAAATATTTCAGTTAAAATCTCAAGTGGTAAACTCATTGTTAACAGTCTTTTTTATAAAAAAAAAGTTATTTGTTGCACTATAAAAAGTTTTATTTGTTGCACTATAAAAAGTTTTATTTGTTGCACTATAAAATGATTTATTTTTTCCCAATCAATTTATCTGATGATATTTAGAAAATGCATATCCTTATGCATCACTCACCCATAGAAAAATGCTATTCACTATAATCATATTCAAGTCAATGTTTTGCGAGTCTTCAGACTATATACAGTATAATATATATCAGAAATGTGATAAGTAATTTTTAATTAATCAATCGTTTAATCTGTTGCTGATCGTAATCAACTGATAGAAAAACCTATTGACCTTTATAAATCCGATCTCATTTCATCAATTAATTTTCTTTAGTTGTTCATTTATTTTCATTATTATTATTATTATTATTATTAGAATTATTATTACATAATAATAATGATTGTGATCTTTATTATGATTTTTATAAAAATTGATATTACACGAAAGTATATTACATTGAAATAAATATTGCCATCATTATTATTTTAATTTATTTTTGTTATTGGAGAAATTATATTATATATATAAAAAAATTTTATTTTTTAATTTCTTGCAGTTTTTCAAAGTCTTGTTTTACAAGATCTGCTTCTTTATGTGCATGTTCTTCGATTTCTTTATCTGAAGCCCGTTCTTGACGTGCTTCTTCTTCAGCTTTATGTGCAACTTCGACTGGTGTGTGAATTTCGGCTACTGACGATGAATTATTTGTTATATCTGTGATTATAATTTTGTCAGTCTAAAAAAAAATTTTAAGAATTAGAAAAAATTTATTGAATTATTAATAATAAGAAAACAATAATTTACATGCATACTTTTTTATTATTTTTATCCATTATTTCTTTGTCTTGTAAATTTATTATAAATTTATTTTGTTTTATTATTATATTTTTATATTTTTGTGAGAAAAAGAAAGTTGAAAATTTGATCCTTTTATAATCGCAACCTGTAATACGTCATGTGTTACATATATAAATAAAAAATCGTACGTTATAAAAGACTTACTATATTTGTATATAATTATAATAAAACTGCTGATTTTCCTTTTTTAATAAATTAAACTCAATAAAAAATCATGCGTTATTTTTACTGTTATTATGTGATATTTTTTATAAATTTTGATTAGATTTTGTTCAATTTATTCGTTACTCTGACAAAATCAATCATTTCAACATGCGTTATTCATCTCGTGTAAGATCGCATGTTTTCACTAAGACCATGGAAACTTGACAATTATATTATGCATGATTTAAAAAATAGAATTCCCAAATATCTCCAGGTGTTCTAAACGAATCGACAACATAAACTCTTTCGTATAGTTTAGTATTTCAATAATTGATTCTGGAGATATAATCTTATAATCTTCAAATGATTTTAGCTTAATTATTTGGATGTAGAAAATTACACCACTTTACCAAAGCAACATCATGATTTTGAATAAAATCTCATACTCTTTAAAATATAAATAAATAACTACAAACTATAAAAAAGATGCAGAGAATAATTTTAGAGTTGATAAAGTAAAAACCATTTAGTCGAGTTCAAGTGACACGAATACAAGATAAGCATTTACCTTTTATTGTTTCCGTATCCTTCCTCCTTTCTCAAATCCAGTTTTTGAATTTCCAATACAAAGGTCGAATTGAAGATCCTCGCATCCTAAAGTGGTATTTACATAACTTCGATTGTCCCCTTTTTAATTATAAAGGATACATGAATCTCCTAATAATAAAATTCTTGTTCCATGGCCCAGAATAAAGCTTCATAAACACCTATCGCATATTTTCTGGTTGACTTTGAATATAAAGCAATAAAAATCACAGTGGCCACAAAAAAAAAATATGAACCAACAAATGAAAGGCATCAATCAATATCAGGCTTATTATTATGTCATTCGCTTTGTGATCAAATTCAACAACGAAATTATTCTTGTTTGTTCCCAACAGTGAGTTATATTCAATGAATGTTTTAAAAAAGATCGAGCCATTCAATTGGTATTCCAGCACCGTATTGTGTTGACGAATTGAGATTCATATCTTATCTGTCATTAATGAATTAAATTTAGTTTGAACTTTATTATTAGTCTCAATAATACCAGTAATTATAATAGCAGGTAAAAGGTATTAACGTAATTCTTAATTCAAAAAAATAATGCAAATACCTTAGATTTTTCTTTCGTCCACTATTCCTGTTAATAAAGTAAAAAATTTCACGTTTAAAAATGAACATCACTTGCATACTTTTTTAAAATTGAATTAAAATACTAGGGCTTTTAGAGTGTTGAATTAATTCAAGCAAGATGCTTGAGTACTTATATATTACATTACTAAATCTATAACAACTAATATCACAATCTAAATCAAAAAACTGATAAAGTAATTGATGCAGTGAGGCCTAAAAAGAAACGTAAACCAAGTAAGCCGATTGGCGAAAAAAATATTAAACAATTATTTGATAAAAAAGATTAAAGTTAAATCTAGATTTTTCATTTAGTAAAATGGCTCGTGAATTATTTGAAGGAAATCCATGAAAGCAATCCAGAAATTTGTTAATAAGAAAAAGAATAAAGAAACGGAGGAGGATGATATAGAAGACAAAGAGATGCTAACAACAATGGTATTATTATTATTAATAACAGTACAGAATAATTTCTATCGGATTGACCAAAGAATGGGTAATACTTATACCCAAGTATTTTATTGCTTGGTGGTTTTTTATCTTTTCTTTTTTTATCTATATCTTATATAGTCGAATCAAAATAAATAAACTTATGATGAATATGTGGTACAATTTATAAATTTATAAATAAAATAATACTAAGATGAAACCTTCAAGGAACAAATTTTGAAAAGGCTGCGCGATGCTGGTCTAATCCTTCTTTTTGTATATAACTAGAGTTCCATTTCCTTGTCGTTCAAGTGATACCAAAAGCATCTAATGGTTATATAAGAATACGGAAGAAAGTTTTTTATTCAATGTAGTAATAGAAATGACTGCACAACTTAGTTATTAATTCACGGAAAGTTATTTTATGTCTTGGACTAGCAATTGTCGCAGGATAGGAAAAGGTTAATAGTCTTTTTGACAACATTATTATTCAATAAAATGTTTCCATTGAACATTTGTGGAAATGGTTTTATTAAAAATATCAATCGCAGTGTGATGGAAATTGGGAATTATAACACATTTCTTCTAACAATAGATTATAAGATTCATTTACTGATCCCATGTATTTAAGGAATATCATAACACACATATTGGTTCTAATAGTTGTGCAAGTTCTGTTATTCCTTGCTCTTATCTAATTGAATACTTTCTAACCCTCCAAATCCAAGTTCAATAATCTCCAATGAATTCTCTTTTATAATAACAAGACGACCATAATAGTAATTGCTAATCACCGTATTATTCACATTTTTACATCATGGTTAACTTTTCAATTGTTTCTCGGAAATATGTTGTAATACATTGTCCTGCTAAATGACCATCTTTCTACTCCACCATCATCCGTACGATATTTTTCATGTTCGAATATATATAACTTCCAGAAATTTAATAGTAAAACAGTATTGTCCTTTCATAGTAATGAAATTTTTTCCAATTGATCTTTCGATAAGGGTAAGAAACACTGGATAAAGCTATACATTTCACTTATATTCTTAAATCAACCTAAAGCTCCGAGCGGGTTAAGTATCAACCCGAAAGTTTTAAAGGCAACCCGAAAATTTCGGGTTGGTTTCGAGTTAATAAAAGAATTTTGCACTTTAGATAGATTTAAATAAATTTCATTCACCTAAACTTTATTAATTAAGTATAAAAGCAAAACAGTTATATTGGTTTAAAAACTGTAATTGGTGTTGTGCGTGACGAAAACACAATTCGTGATGCAAGAGATGCAAGACCGCAGTCCGTGACGCAAGACGTAATTCATGATGCAAGACATAATTCAAGACACAGGACTAGTAGGCCTAATTTCGCCCATGAAAATTTTCTGGCAAAATTGACGAAACCTAAACTGCAGACAAAAACCAAACGGACATACTAATGTTTACTTGTCTGATTTTGTCACATTTGCATTTTTTAAAAGAATTAAAATAAATTTATTTATTTAATTTGAAGGACAAATTGTAATTTATTTGATTTACATTGTCAAGAAAAATGGCACCACATTGCTTACCAGCTTTATTTAAGACTGAATAAATTTTCACTAATTCTCCTTAATGGTTTTTATCACTTTTGAAGTAAATCCATGTAACTATGCTTTTGTCTTTGTTTTTTTAATGTTGGTGGTTGTTCATTTGAAGACAAACTAGCCATGTCATTCAGTAAAAAATGAAAAATGTTAAACATAATAATGATTGATACCAGCATCTGAAAAGTTATGTGATTGTCATATATTTTTTTCTTTTATTTTTGTAAGATTGTACATTCAATTGTAATACCAAATCCTAATAATAATAATAATAATAATAATAATAATAATAATAATAATAATAATAAAGGACCTCGGAAGTTTATATTAGATGTTTCCGGAAAATTTGCATAATCTTTTTTACTCGAAATATGATTGGTCAAATCTGAGGATCTTCACCAAATGGTAATTACTCACGTTTCAGGGTGATTTTGTAAGTGACATTTTTTTTTTTTGGTATGATAGTCAAGTGTTAAATTTTTCTATACCTTAGCCGGGACGTCTAATATAAGTTTCCCGAGGTCCTTCTAATTAATTAATAAAACTAAAAATAAGAATGGCTTGTACTAATTGCGGCGGAAATGGTGTAGAGTATGATACAGCAGCTGGTCATGCATTTTGTACAACTTGTGGTTTTGTATGTATTATACAATTCTGAATTTTTCATATTTTAAACATAAAACTTTAAATTGTAATCATGAAATATTGTGTTTTTTTTTAGGTGGCAGAAGAAAGTAAAATAGTATCAGAAGTAACATTTGGTGAAAGCTCTTCTGGTGCTGCAATTTTACAAGGTTCTTATGTAGGCGCAGACCAACGTATGTATTATCTTTATTAAAAAATTTTTTTCCTTGTTTCCTTGGATGATTTCGATGATTAAAAATTATTGATTTATTTGATAATTTGTCGTAATAAATAGGAAGAGCAAAAACAGTTGGACCATATCGACGTCATTCACGTGTTGACTCAAGAGAACAAACCATATCAAATGGTGTGTGTATATATATATAAATTTCTTTTTATTTTGTTGGTATATATCTTATATATTTATTTGATATATATATATATATATAGGACGAAGGTTAATACAGGCTCTTGCAACAGCATTAAGACTTTCTGATCATTTAATGGAAGCAGCACAACGTTATTTTAATCTTGCAATAACAAACAATTTTATACAAGGTCGTAAAACAGAACATGTAGTGGCAGCCTGCCTCTATATTGTATGTCGTTCCGAAAGGACCAGTCACATGTTGATAGATTTTTCTGATATATTACAAGTTAATGTCTTCACACTTGGATCAACATTTTTGAAATTAGTTAGGCATCTTCATATCGTATTGCCACTTATAGATCCATCACTTTATATTTCAAGATTTGCTTCAATGTTGGAATTTGGTGAAGAGACACCGCGTGTTGTTGCCGATGCTCTAAGGCTTGTACAGAGAATGGATAGAGATTGGTTACAAACTGGTAGAAGACCTGCTGGTATATGTGGTGCATGTAAATAAATAAATAATTTTTATTTTATTTTAAGAGAAAGTTCAACATAAAAAGAAAAGATAATAATATATATATATTAAAGGTTTATTAATTGCTGCACGTATGAATAATTTTCGTAGAAGTATTAGAGAAGTTATAGCAGTAGTAAAAATAGCAGACGTTACGATTAAAAGGAGGCACTGTTAATTTTCATTATATATATATATATATGTATATATGTTTTTTTGAAGGGTTGATAATTAAGAATTAAATCGCTAAATTATTGTTTTATTTATAAATTTATTATTACAGACTAGAGGAGTTTAAAATAACGCCTTCTGGTAAACTTTCTGTACAACAATTTAGAAATCTTTGGCTTGAACAAGAATGCGATCCGCCTGCATTTAAACGTGCGCAAAATTTAGCTAAACTTGCTAAAAAAATCAAAGAATCAAATACTTCAGAGTTAGTGTCATTGGATAGTCCACCACAACTACCAGAAACGTCATCACAAAATGATAATGTTGAACAAAATGATTCTAACAGGGATGATGTGGCTAGTCAAAGAGAAAACGATAATGATAATATTAACTATGGCGATTTTTCAGAACAAGAAGATCAAGTAGAAGATTTCAATAGTAATGATAATGGTAGTAGTAAAGCTTCTGATGATGTTGATGACGTTGATGACGTTGATGAGTGTAGTATAATTGAAGAAGAGATTGATCGTGAATTAGAAGAAGAAATATCATATTATTTGGATAAGAATAATAATGGCGAAATTAATTCTGATGTTGATGATGATGAAATTAATAATATATTGTTGAGTGAAGAGGAAGTTAGAAAGAAAACTGAGGTATGGATGGAGTTGAATCAAGAATTTTTACAAGAACTTGAAGAAAAACAAAAAAAACAGGAATTGAGTCGTCAGAATGGTGGTGGTGTTAGTACGCGAAGAAAACGTCAAAAGAAAGGCAAAAATTCTGAGCAGCCTGTAGCTAATACACCTGCAGAAGCTGCTAGAAGGCTTTTTGAAGAAAGAAATCTTTCAAAAAAGATAAATTTTGACGTATTAGATTCATTATTAGATAATATGACAGATAGTAGTAGTGTACCAAATACTCCTTCATCATGGCGCGATTATGATCCATCTAGTATAAGTGGATCAGGAATTTCACGATCAAGAGTTAATTAGTGTGTGTGTGTGTGTATATATATTTTTATGTCACATATATATTATTAATATTGGTGATATTAGAAGAATAAAGACTATCTTGTGTATAGTAAGTTAAATTAATTATTTAAGTTATTTATTAAAATTTAAATAATAAAAATTTATTTCTCTCTATCTTTTGAACAATAACAACAATAATAATAAGATTAGAAAAAGTTTTTTTAAAGTTCAACTCTATTTTTACCAATTCCTATTAATTCCACATCGAACACAAGAGTGGCATCACCTAAAATAATACATAATAATTGTAAGTATTTTTTGATTATAAAAGGAAAGAAAAAATAAAGGTTCAAATTTTTTACCTGGAATGACTGGTGGACTTCCTCTTTTACCATAAGCAAGATCAGGTGGAATAACTAATTTACGTTTTTCACCAATACACATACTATTTATAATCAAATTAAATCAGAGAAATTTTTTTAATCAATTGGTTTTAATTTAAAAAAGAATAATTAATTTTATGATTTCATTTGATTAAAAACATACCCTTTCAAACCATCATCCCAACCTTTAATAACTTGTCCTACACCTTTATATTTTATGTATATATTTTGTCAATAAAAAATATTCATAGATTATATGTAAAAAGGAGTTTCGATTAAAAAAATTTTTTTTTTTTCGACTTACCTAATGTAAATGTAAATGCATCGCCACGTGGAATACTTGAATCAAATTCAGTGCCATCGGAGAATAAAGTTCCTGTATAGTGAACTGAAATTTGATCACTAAAAATAAAGAAAAAAAAAACATTATTTTCGAAAATTACACTAATTTTATACAAAAAACTTTTTGAAATGGTGTAATTACCCAGATTTTGTACGTTTTCGACAGATACCTTCAGGAACACGGTTTTTAATACCTAATCATCACATTTTTGTAGAAAATTTTTTAAATAGTTAAAAAAAAATATCAATTAAATATTTAGAAATAACATATCAAAAAGTGTTTTACCAATTTGTAAGGTTGTGGGCGGTGTTTTACCAAACACACAAATTACCAAGTTGAAAAAAATGGCTATGAATAATAAGATTATTATATTTTTGTTCATTTTTTTTTTTTTTTTAACAAGATTTAATTTTTTTTTAAAAAAAAAGACGGACGAAGTTGAATAATAAAAGTATGAAACAAAAAGATTAAAGTTTTCTTTTTGAGCAATTTAATTTAAAGGCCCAATTGCATTTAATAACGACGTACTTGTTAATTGGCCAACTATCATATATTACATAATAATATACTTATTAGTTTAGTTTGATTAGTTTTATCTACTCTCCCCCCTCGTATTACATAATTTGCAAGGCTAAACAACAAAAAAAACTGTAAATCTATCTTCTTTAAGTTATCAAAGTGTCTTCCTTACATTACCTCAACAATCATCAATTAACTGGGCTTTTAAAAAAGTCTTGTTTAAACCTATCAACAGCAACATCATTATCCGCAATAAAAGTTATTTTTCAATACAAAAGCGCTTTCTCAACTACCTCAAAATTACATATGAAGTATTATATACAAATACTTGGTACTGATACATATGACTTATCTCCATCTGTCCTAGTTCATTTTGATGGACAACGAGGTAGTCAAAGATATTTATTTAATTGTGGTGAAGGTACTCAAAGATTTTGTCTACAAAACAAATTAAAACTTGCTAAAACAAAAAATATTTTCATTACAAGAGTTAATTGGGAATGTGTTGGTGGAATTCCTGGTATTTAAATAATTGATTAATGATGATCATTTTTATCATGGTATATTTGATTTTATATAAAAGGATCAATTCAACTTACCATCATCATTTAACATAAAACGATAATGATTAGGTATGCTACTTACTTTAGCTGATTCTGGCACAAAAGAAATCAAAGTTTTAGGCGGTCAAAACTTAACACATTTCCTTGCTGCAACTAGAGGATTCATTATTAGGTAGAGGGATCATCACTACAATTTATAATATTTACATGCACATATATATATACATTTATTCATATAAATATATTTTTATTTTATAGATCTAATATGGCTGTTGAAACACACGAGTTTCCTGAAGAAGGGTCAGATTTCAATGATGGTAATTTATTAGTAAAAGCTGTATTAATTACTCCAAATAATTTTGAGATGTCATCACCCGTTGGTTTGGATAGCAAAAAAAAAGTATTAGAATTAATGTTCACTCAAAGTTCAAATAATACGGAACCACCACCACAATTATTCTCATCGTCATTATCAACACCATCAAAAAAAAAACGTATTAAATTAAATGAAGACAATGCAGCATTTGATATTCCTGATGAATTAACCGATGAACCTTCTTTAGAAGATCAACAACCATTAGTTATTGAATCAGCAAAAGCAAAATCATCTACTATTATACGTGAACAAAGAAAGAAATATTTTCCAAAAAGATTACCAAAATCTAAACCATTGGCAACATCAATTGCTTATATTTGTAAAGGGCCTGATTATAAAGGAAAATTTGATCCTAAAGCGGCACAAGCTTTGGGATTGCCACCTGGCAAATTATATTGTAAGTAATCTATTTAATATTGTCACTATTATCTCAATTTATATTGAAGTTTTTTACAATTATTTGAAATATTTTTTCCAGCACAATTAGTTAAAGGGTTGTCAGTCACCGCACCAGATGGAACTATTGTTCATCCAGATCAAGTCGTGGGTCCATCTCGTCCTGGTTTGGTAAAATTAATTTAATTATCCAAAATAATTATTAATTAAACAGAATTTGGATTCAAAAATAAAAAATTTTTTATTTAATAGATTTTCATTATTATTGACGTCCCATCAACAGACTATATACAATCAGTATGTTCTTCACCAGATTTCATACAATATCAAACTACCGAAGATCTTCAACCTAAAATTATAATTCATATGTTAGGTAAAAATGTCATTCAAAATCAACAATATATTGAATGGATGAAAAAATTTGGTGAAAAAACTGAGGTGAATTTATTATTATTATTATTATTATTATTATTATTATTATTATTATTATTTAATTATTTGTGATTCCGTATTATTTGTGATTCCGTTAAATATTGTTTTTAACAAATTGGTATATACACAATAGCATATTATTGCAAGTGAAGAAGTTTGCCCACAAAAAATTGTTTTTTATAATTCAGCATTGAGTCAACTTAAATTATCTAAACTTGATGAAAAACAATTTGCAATTCCATATTATTCTAATGAACCTTTTAAGAAGTTGGATGATAGTCAGTACATATTATTTAATTATATGATTTTACTTTCTTTTTTTTTTTTACAATAACAATCTTATATATATATTTGAAATTTAACAAAGTTTTAAACCTTCCAAAGAAGTCTTCAATTGCCATACCATTAAGAGTTTATCAAATGGAGCCAACTTTTAAAATCGATGATTCACAACTAACAAATGTGTTTGATCACATTGACCCAAATTCACTCGAGATGCAAACATTAAATGGGATGACCGAGTATCTTGAAATTGTTAAGCTAGTAAAACAAAAAATATTATCATCAGCATCGTCGTCATCAGATAACTCCATTCAATCTCAAGATCCACTTCCTATTATTCATGGTTCAAATGTTAGTGTCACTACTTTAGGAACAGGATCTTGTTTACCATCAAAATATAGAAATGGTAATATATATATATATATATTTTAAAAAAAACCCCAAATTTAATAAACATTTCTAATTTAATGTTATAATTATTAGTAAGTTCTACTCTCATAAAGATCCCACAAGATGGATGTATTTTACTTGATGTTGGTGAGGGGACATTAGGTTCATTGTACAGAAAATACGGACCACTTAATGATAAACCTATAATTAATAGTAGTAACTCCACCATTAATAGTGGTAGTAATACTAATAATGAAGAGAGCATGAGTTTAGAAAAGTGTTTAAGGGATTTGAAATTGATTTTTATATCACATATGCATGCTGATCATCATTTAGGGTTAATTAGATTGTTAGATCGATGGAATCAGGTATTAAATATTTATATATTTCTAAAAAAAAAAAAAAATGCTACCAGCAATTGTTAAAAAGGACCATTAATTTTCTTAAAAAATTACATATTTTTTTGCAAGATAATAGTTACGTCAAAATGATGGTGATGATAAAAGTATTTATTTAATGGGACCAACAAGGTTATGGAAATGGCTTAATGAATATAGTGATGTACAAGATTTTGGTATTTCAAAGGTTAAATTTATTGATAATAAAGATGTATTAAGACAGCAATTTTCAAGAAATTCGGACGAATTGCCAGCTGTTATAATGTAAGTTGTAGCAGAAATTTTATAAGTTGATTAATTAATAATTAATGGTTTATTTTTAAATATACATGGTTTTTTAATGTTTCAGGATAAGAGAGCTGATGGACAATTTAAAACTTCGAGAACTTTTACCAGTTGAAGTAATTCATTGTCCTTCATCTTATGGGTTATGTATAGAACATACCGATAATTGGAAGATTGTGTATGTATAATATTGTTTTCTTTATCATTACCAGTAAATAATTATTATTTGTATATTTATCATTAGATATTCAGGAGATACAAGACCATGCGAAGAACTTGTACGTCTTGGTAAAAATGCCACGTTGTTAATCCACGAGGCTACATTTGAAAATGATTTAGCACAAGAAGCAAAAATTAAACGTCATAGTACTACGGAAGAGGCTGTTCAAGTTGGTAATAGGTAACTAATAATGATTAAATTAAGCAAATAATTTTTATTTCACAAATTATAATGAATTTTAATTATTTTATTAATTATTATGTTTTTGTAGGATGAACGCTAAATCATTGTTGTTGACACATTTTAGTCAACGATATCCTAAAGTGCCAATATTTACTGATGATCATGGATATGTGGGTATAAGTTTTGATTTGATGGAAGTTAACATTGGTGAATTGTACAAACTTCCAAAATACGTGGAGGCTCTTAAAGTGTTATATCCTGATGAAAGTGAGGAAGCCAAAGAAGAAGAAACAGATGAAGAGGATATTTAATATTAACATTCCAAGAGTTATTCTTTTTGTAATGCTGATTATAATAAATGCTTATATTATGTACTTAAATTTCTCTATGATTGTTGATTGTAATTATCGCCAGAACTATTTGTCAGACACACTACTACTACATGCACAGTCGAACAAATCCCGCATAATAATGAGTTCTAAATAAAAATCCGTCCGAAATTTTTTTCCCAAAAATATTTCTGATTCAACAGAGATTTTGACATGTGATCTGTGTTTAAATTTTAAATGTTAAAATGCAGATTTAAGTGAATTAAATAATCGGTCTTATACCAAATCCAAAAAATATCGAAATTCTTGACAACAATGTATTTCGTACTATCAAAAAACATCTTGATGAACAGAAGATTGAGTAAAATTACAAATAATGTCTTAATGAAATTAATTGATAGTATGCCAAGAATAATAAAAGCTGTCAATGAAAATAATGTGTGGAAACAAAGATATTGGCTTTATTAATAGATTTTTTATTATTATTGCTTGAATTTCGAGGCTAAATTTTCAGATCCCAAAATAGCAATAATATTCTTTGGTGTCACGATATTATAAATCACATGACTCAATCACTTGTTGATCAGTTTTCTTTAATAACAAAGAAATTAAGAAGTGTATGTATAAAGTTCCCATGATGTATTACAATAGATGACTATATAATAGAATAACAACTCACAACTATCAAACTATAAAATCTATGTGCATATTGTGCACTGCGCACAAAAAGCCACTGTAGTGCACAAATCAACAGAATTTTTTGTGCAAAGAATTTTAAAGGTGTCTGCTAGTGCTTATTGATCCACCACCATCCATTGCTTTAAGTTGGGCCATTAAAAATATGTCTTGTTCTGTTTTAGAAAGAGCTTGAAAGGATTCTCTTAATTCTGCAAATTCTTCCTTAGGAATTCTCAAAGAGCAACCACATTTACAACCTTTTTCTAGAAAATCAATGGCTTTTTGATATTCATTAGAACCATGATATTTATTATTACTTTTCATATACACTTACCCCTATATATATATAATTTTATAATTTTGTGTTCACTTTGGGTTATTTCTTGACTATCTTTCATGTTAACTTTGAACTGAATAAACAAGAACCAAAATACAATTAGTTAATATTTTCTCAGTTTTGAAGAAATAATAAAGTGATTTTTCAAAGTAAATAAACAGTATTGGATATCATAATTAATGTTTATTACAGAAAAAATATTAATATTTTTCTTTTTCCTTCCAATATACATGTACTATCCTTCCTATCTGTCACCAATATACTGTAATTTTGGGACCCATGCAAAATGTGCATGTCAAACTTTATATCTTTACTTCCTTTTTTATAATTAAAAAAACATGATACAAAGTGTAACAATGACACCATGAATGAAAATTTATAACCATAAACAATTCATAATGAAAATAAACTAAACTAATACAAATCAAAAATATATGTTTGTAATAAAAACATAATGACTTATGTATTCAATAAACAGGTAAATATATTAAAGAAGTCCACTAAGATCAAAGCTTTTTTCTAGAAGATAAATATCATGTTCCTTTTTAAGATATGCACCAGCACACACATCTGGATGCCAAGGGATTTTGGTATTTATTGTTAGTGGATACCTATTGAATAATCAGAGTTAGTATTAGGCCATTTAGGGAAATTATAGGTATAAAAAAATAACTTTAGTTATTCAGAAACATTACTTAGTACTGTTGGCTTTTCCAGACCAATCAAAATCAATAAATTTCATCACTTTATCTTCTGTCTCAGATAGAGAAACCATAATATTAGAAGGACGCAAATCTCCATGTACAAAGTCACCATTATGGATCAACTCAGCAATATCCATAGCTTTTTTCTTTAACAGATGTTGGTCAGAGGGTTTATCTTGTAGATAAGAGTAGAGATCTGTAAAGATATCTGGTGATAAATATTCTATAACAATCATTTCCAATTTCCTTCAATGTTTTCAACTGAAATAAGTTCTGGTGCAATCTTTAGGTCTTGGCAATATCTGCAAACATCATCACCATGATTATTAGGTACAAACTTAACAATATATTGTTTGGCCTTTTCATCTTGTACAAGAAAAAGAGATTTTTTTCATAAAGTTCTTTTAGATAAGCAAATTGAATTTACCTCCATTATTGTTATTGAAAGATCTAGGATAAGGAAAGTATGATTGGCGTGGAATGTTTATACTATCTGGTTCAACAGATTCATAATGAATTTTCAGCTCATTCAATCCATTCTTCAATGCTTCAATAACAGAAATTATCATTGATAAGTGTTCTGGATGGTGTAACATTGGTAAAAGAGGGATCATATGTGTCAGAGGTTCAACTATAATCTTTTTTCCAAATACAGCTCCTGAAATTCCAAGCCAAGATCCATGTAAATGCAGAAGAAAACAAGGATTGCAGTTAAAGACTAGTGCCGTAATCCAAAAAAGGAAAAAGTATGGTTGCAAAAGTGGTCGTAAAGGTAATTGCAACCACTTTTTATATGCCATAAATACAATTACTACCATCACCATAATTTACAGCACTAGTCTTTAATTGCAGTATCTTTCATAATCATCTATAGTAGCCATATACCTTCCATATGAGCCAGCTACCTGAAAATATGCATCACCAGCAGTTCCAAGATTATTCTTTGCTTCAAGGATTAACAGGGCATACTGTTTTGATTGTACATTACAAATTACTGCACCATCTGCAGTACAATTACCAATTGCAAATTTATTTATTGGATGTCCAAGAATTTTTCCCATCAGTTTCTGAAACTCCAATAACCTGTGATCCTCAACCTCATAAGTCTTTGCCATCTCATACAATAGATTCACAACATTTTCTATATCAGCTGGCTTGGCATCTTGTTTTTTCAAAGATTGATCCTTGAATCTGCCAAAAACAGGATGGTATAAAACCACAGAGATGTTCACATAATTTGGACAGACAGAAATTGTAAATGTAATTTGGATCATATTCTTCTCTGCAAAAACTTGATGGTGGAGGAATCCTCTTTATTTTGACTGCTTCATCCTTTGCCAAGACCCATGTATCATCAACCTTATGTTTTCTTTTGATCTAATATGAAAGATTTGATTGGTACATTTGCAAATTTGGCCCACTTTGTAAAGATGTGGAATTCCAAACATTAATAGATCTCTTGGATAATTTAATACCTGCTGCTTTAGATATCTACAGTATAATCTTTTGTTCAGGCTCTTGTGTTCAGTATGTAGATACAATCTTCAGATTGTGGACATTTGCATTAAGGTGGAATAGAAAAAATTATAATAAAATCCCATTAGCATTCCTTTCTGATTA